AAACTAAGCTTTAAAGAGATTCATGATTTCCCATCTCTTCACTGTTGTCACAGCAATATAAAATGCAATATAAACTACTATAATAATTTTTATATGATCAATGTCATTCCCATTTCGAGGAAATATTTGTCAAATTTTGTCAAAATGATTTGCAGCAGCAGTTGCAGGTCCATTAGGGGCGACTGAGTGTGTTTTGCTTGTCGATGGCGCCTCAAAGTAGGCAATAAAAAAATGAAGGCAGCATCAATACGTGAGCTCGTAAATCTCGTGTCGTATATGGCCGCGATAACTGTAAGCAAAAGCCAACCCCTAATCAAGTAGCAACAAGAACTGTTTGCCGATTGAACCTTTGACTAAAAGTAAGATAAAGAAGCAGCAGTAACGACAGCAACAGCAACAACAACAACAACAACTAGACATAGTAACTGAATGCATATTGGGGAGAAAGAACATGCACAGACACACACCCACATCCACATCCACACACACACATACATACTATATGGCACTGAAGTGGCAGGGGAGCAGGGAGGCTGCTGGATGGGTGGTGCTTAAGGGTTGCAGCCAGCCTGCTTCTGATTCCGATCTGCCTGGCAACACCAAAACACTCCACTATTTATGTTGCTTGTTGGCTAACAGGGACCGGCGAAAAGGACCCACTAGAAATTTCATTTTCATTTCTGCAGGTGAGAGCCAAAAAATGGCAAAACAACGACAGTGAGAGAGACTGTGTATGTGTGTGTGTGTGTGTGCGTCAAAGAGAGTGAGAGTGGGAGCTTGCGAGAGCGCATGGACATGCGCTGCACAGCAGCGAGGGACGTGGAAAGGGATGTGGAGACTGCCTGACCAGAGGGGTTGCTGCAAAAGTTCTTTTCGTTGCCCGAGACGCGACGGCGAGCCACAGCAGCATCCAGTTGGAAAATGTACGCGCAATCAAACGCATCAGAAAGCGCGTAGCAAACAAACGAAACGTTCGAACGAAAGCTCGTGTTGACAAAAATCAAAAAAGAAACTCCTCAAACACACGCACGCACACACACTTATAGAAACTCGCACGTACACACACACACACACACAGTCACTCACACTTATACACAGATGAGTCGCGTGCTGCCTTTACACACTGCCCCCCACCCACTGTGCGTGTCTATAACGAAAAGAGCATAAAAATTGCCAAAAAAAAAAAAAAAGAAAGTAAAAATAAAATAAAGAAGCAAAGCAAAGTAGAAAAGTTTGACAAAAGGCAATCGAAGAATCAAATCAATTTCTGTCGGCTTTTTGTTAATTAAAGCTAATTAATAATTAGATCAAGTTCTGACGACGAATTCGGTGCGCTAACGGAAATCTAACGGTACTTCAAGTGAATTGAGTGAAAGCTAGAATGTTATAGTCCAATATAGCAATATAAAAGCCAATTGAGCCAAATGAATGAATTCGTGTTGGCCTAATGACTGCCTCACTTGCATTGATTAAGTGTTGCTATTTTGACCTTTTGCCACCAGCCAAGTCCAGCGACAACAACAACGACAGCAAGCCTAAGCAAATATGTACACACGTTCAAGCCATTATATAGCTCATGGACGTCCGCCTCAAATGTCCGAATTAATTTTTACTGCCAACAACAGAGAAATAGCCGCTGCCAGTGCCGCAGTCGCTGTCGTCTCTGCCGCTTGGTAGGGAAATGCACTCGCCAATTCAGTCAAGTGGCAAACAAAAACGGGACCAGCAGCAAAAAAAAAATAAATAAATAAGAGAAAAAGCAAAAGCAAAACGCGAAAAAAAACGAATTGGACTGGAAAGCGCACTATTGACATATATACGCGCATTCAGAAAGCACTCAGAAACGCGCTCGTTTCTCGCTAAAGAAAAACGCCGCATTATCAAAGCTAAGACAAAGCAGGAAATTCACTTATACTCTCCGACTCACACTCACACAAACAGAAAACACACTCACACACACACCAAATTGACGCATGTGAGGAAATGCGCGCTGTTGAGCTTTGCATTTTGACATTTCATTTTCAAAACACAGATTCCAATGCGAGCGCCACAGAGTCAAGTGTTGCGCTCTCTTCCACGCTCTCACGCGTACTCTCTCAGCGTTCCAGCTGCGACGCTCTCACATGCTCTCACTCTCGTTCTCGCTCGGTCTCCCTCTCTCACACTCTTCGCATTCACTCGTGTGACGCGTGTGTCAAACTTTTGTTTCCAGTGTGCGTTGCGAGCAACAACAAAATCATGATAATAATAACATGCATGCAAATGTAAACAAATGCAGCAGGCGTCTAAGCAATACAATTATTGTTATTGTCTTTGCATGGCTGTTAACCTTGTAATGCCATCAAATAGAACAGGCATTGCAAGGCATTACAATGCACTGCAATCCCAACTAAGTAGCGAGCAACTAAACCGGTTTCAGAGCAGTTTTTATTGCATTTTATAGCTGAGGCTATAATTATAAGTTAACATAAATATGTTAAATGACTCTTAAAATAACAAATATACGATATTTAGCTTCTGGAATTTATTTTTCAATTAACGAAAACAACTGCTAGAATAAACATAGAATGTAATTTATGAAGAGTTTCCCTTATATTAGACATTAAAAAGCTCGCCATTAGCTTATCAAAACATAATTAAAATTTTAAACCGGCTTTCTGTTAGCCCTCTAGAGCTCTCAAATCTAATCAATAGAAAGAAATTTGATATTGCAAATTCGTACCATAAAGTTTATTGATTCCCTAGAATCTTATCAGCTGATAAATGCATGCATTTCAAAATGAGTAATAAGTTTGCTATAGATTTTCATTATCTCCATGTGATTCTCAAAGGAAATACCGGTATATTAGAAATTGAAATGAAATTGCCTCAAAATGAACCGTATCATATTTACTTTATTATTGCCCAGGCCTAAACCGCACAAAATTCGCTAAGGATGCTCAACTCGAGCTTCAAGTGCTGCTCAAAGGCAGACTATAGAGTCAAATACACTCATCCACACACACACATATATATATATATACACCTATACACACACCCACATCCAGCATCAAAGATTTTTTGGGGGTTGCTTTTTGGGCGTTGAAAGCGCTTTTCACTAATTCAATGCGACATTGAAATTGTGAGCAACATCCAAAAAACTGCAGACGCAGACAACGTTACGAGCGTGGCTGCCGGCTCAGACGATGCGAATGACTAGACGGTATACTGTCCGGGTGGGGCGGCAGGGGTGGGAGTGAGCCGGCGAGACCGGAAGGGCGGCAACTTTTGGCGCCTGGCCCAAAAAGAAGTGAAGAAATACTGAAAAATACGCCGAAGATGAAATATTCTTTTATAACTTTACTTCCAATGTTCTGTAACTATAGTAACTATAAAAGATGGAAGGAAGTTTATTCTAGATAGCATATGAAAATAATCAAACATTATATTCAAAACTAATTTTTCCCAATAAATATATATAGTGCAGTAATAGAAAATTCTTTGTAGATATGGAGTAGATCTACTTATCTGCGTTACATTTTTCATAACAATGCTAGTAGAGCCTTTTCGTCTTAGATATTTTACTGACCACCTTTCTCATATTTTTTGCTATTTGCTTTTTGAGGAGTTTCGCATAAATTACGATTATTTGTCCCTTAGATTATCAAGTCGTTGCGCAGCTGAGAGTGTTTCCTCTCTTCGGCTCTGTCAAATTCGAATTTCGAATATTCAAAGTTGACTTCATAAACATGGCTAAAACATAAAATATGTATGAGGGAAACACGTGGCTTGACTGGTTGGAGGCAAAACGGACAAGGCACATCATGTTCTGATTTTTTTTTAATATCAATGTTTTTTTACCCAAGTGAAGAAACTCTGTGTTAATATAGCATATACTATATAGTGTGCATATATAAATATATATAACTGAAGAACGCGGCGTCTTAGCAACGCATTCAAGTTAACGTATTGGCCGGAAAGCAAAGAGATACCGGCCCCGTTAAGATTTCGGTCGTTGGCGGTGGTCGTAAAGGTTCGAAAATTTGGCGGCGCGAGCGCATCGAAATGACAAATGATCCGGACTTAGATGATTGTGCATTTCTATCAGGTAAATGGAACTCATAGAGAAGTGGTGTTACTTGTTAATTGAATCTGTTGAGTATATTCGAATACATTCAAACGTGCGATATTCAGTAGTTCATTAACTTTAACAGACAGCTGAATTATTTACTCAAACGAATCACAAATTGATCAAATGAATAAGTGAACAAAGTGTATTGAATAACTTGTGAACTACAATTTTAATGATACGTTCAATTGAACTGGCTCTCGCAGCTCTTCAGCCAATCAACCAACTTGTCCCTTGAAACAGTGGGCACAATGCAAACATTTCGTGTGCAAATATTGACATCATTTAATATGACTGCACACACACACTGTCCCCTTACTCCTCTCTCACTTTTATCAACCATCTCTCATACTCTCTTTTAACTGTTTGTTAATTACATTTACCAGGTGGCGAATCGAGCGGCGGCCGCCAGACGCGCACCGGAGTCGCCGTCTGTTCGCAGCGTCGCGCCCTTCTCGTTGCCGGCATCGTCCTTGGATCCCTGCTGCTGACGGCCATTATCATTGCCTACGCCGGACCCCAAAATGGTAGGCTCCATTGTACATCTATATTTGCCTTTCGGTTGCATTTCTTTTTTTCTTTTGTTTCCTCTTCTGTTTTTTTTTTCTTTACATTTTTATTTCATTACCACAACAAACAAGTGGAACAAAAGCTCCCGTTGTTCCCCCTTTTTTCGCAGGATATGTTTGCAAACAGGGAAAACAGCTTTTCATATGTTTTATAATACGCATTGTATTATTTTTTCGCGAGTGGTAACTCGCCTAGGGAAAGAGATAATTTAAATGAGATTTTACAACAATAACTAAAAGCTGATTATAACTTTTTATGATCATAATATAATCGTTATTATACTATATACGTAAAGAGTTTTATAGTCTTTTAACAATACTTTTGAATCGAAAGTTGCATTCGTAGTCTTGCAGTGAAATATTTTATACTTGAACAACATTTTAGATTCCACGAAATTGTGAGGCTGAAAATCCTCTTCATGTCCGATGAAAATTCAGGCTATGAGCTATGATATGATAACACAGATTAACAACAAATCTTTTTTATTTATACCAAATTTGAGGAAATTTTGAGCTTGAAAAAAACTTCTTACAATCAGAAACAACAGCTAAGATAGCAAAATCAATACTAAATAACAAGAGAGGAGAAATTAAATTTAAACATTTACAAAATATCAAATTTATCTTTAGCAAAGTTTGCTCACATATGTGAACAAAAATGAATTTTACGTTTTCAGTTTGCCTAAATATAAATTCAGACAGCTTTACCGTAGTTTATCGTTCCAGTCCAACCAGTATCAAGCCCGCTGATATTTAACTATTTACTTTAATGTAAGACCAGTAAATGCTTTCCACTTTCCATTAAAAATTGCTTCAACTCCAAACGTAATCTTAACTCAATTAAGCTAAAGTTGGCTTATTTTTAATGAAATATTTATTCCTATTAAGCCAAGTATTTTCACAACACGCTTTATTATTAGGCGAGCTACAACATATTACTCTCCTTAGTGTAACCATAGAATCGCATTAGGCTAATGAAGGATGCAACCAGAACAGAACCGAGCAGAGAGCTAAGCAAAGCAGCTGCATCAGCTCTTGCCACACGCTGCCTCTTGACATAGTCGCAGCATGTTGTATGTCATATGCTTACTAATAGTATTAGCCCTAACCAAATACCATTATAAAATCTGACCCGGGCGAATGGCTCCTCACTCTGTGTGTGTGTGTGTGTGTGTGTGTGTCGGGGCAGGAGAGGAGTTCCATATTGATGCATCGAGTCCCCTTGCCGCATATTACGTTGCAAAATGTATGCAAAGTACAAATATAAACCTTGTGTTGCATACTTAATGGGGCTAAATGCATTGAAGGCTAATTGCATTACGGACCCAAGCCAGACATGCATGTGTGATGGTCGATGAGTGTGAGTTTGTGTGTGAGTGTGTGTGTGTGTGTCTGTGACTTTACAAAGAGAAAGAGCTAGACAATGTAAGCAGGTTTCACGCAAGCTCTACACAACACTTAATTAATTAAAGCAGAGTGGCAAAAAAAAGTACTAAAAATGCCCAACCCTTCTTTTGAGCAATTTAATAAAAATACCAAATATTTAATCAACTTTAAATAACCCGTACGTCTTCAATATATGCAAAATATATATCTATATATAAAATATATATTTATAAATATGTATACATAATTTGTTTACCGTTTTCTTTTCATACTGTTGTTTCTTTGTATTCTTTGGTAAAACAAAAAAATTATAAAAAAAAAAAAATACACACAAAATATTACTATATATTTATGAAAACTTCTCTTAAATGCTTGTTTGATTGGTAAAAATGTGAGTAACAAATTTTTCCAAAAACCCACTTCTTCTACTTAACCGGTAATTAACACTCAACAAATAGTCCCAATATATCTTTATAAATATAGTATTCCCGAAATATATATATCTATCTGTCGGCATGTTGCTGTCATCCACTTGTTGTACCCACTATAATACCTTATCTATATGTTCCCTTTCCTAGTGCATTTGATTCATTTGAAATTGTTTTCAAACTCTCAATCCAATTCAAAATTCTTCTATATTCATCCAAAAACAAAAAGTCATCGAACCTTTACGCAGTTTACATTGTTTGCTCGTAAAATGTGTAGAATTTTTAAAGTATTTAACTTTTACTGATTAAATAATTTTTTAATTAATTTAATTCTAGTACATTTTAGATATATTTTCTCATTTTTTTTTACCTATATTTAAAAACTGTTGTTTGGAACATGTCTATTAGATATTATTTCGATTTAGAAACGTAGATATTAACTTAAAATTTTTTACATCATATCCATAAGACTTATAAGACTCATAAACTTATATACATTTAGCATAGAGTGTTTATCAGACAGAATTAGGGTAGCCAATCATAAAAAATGTGGACAATACATTTAATACATTTTTTCTGGTTTCCAGAAAAATAAAAAACAAGAAAATAATATATTTGGTGTTACCTGATTAGTTATATATGCATATATTTTCTCCAGTTAAGTTCTCTTTTATCGTAAAGAGAAATGAATGTACAAATCATAGAGAGTATAAAAGTATCGAAAAAGCCAAAATAAATAATTAAAAACTAATAAGCAAATTTAATAGAAAAAACAAAATAAAAAAATATTATTTTAAATAAATATAAAATCAATTAAATAAAATATCTTTAGTAATTTTCTGACAAAAAAATATAGAAAATTTTATAGAATATAAAAAAAAATATTTTCAAATAATAAAATAAATATCTATGAAATTTAATTAAAAAAAA